TCGGGAGCCGGCGGAGCCGGGCAGGGAGACTCGGGATGGGCCCGGGTTCTCGCGCCCGCCAGTGTGTGGCCGGTGGGACTTGAGGTCCGCACACTCAAAACCGAGTCAAGCCAGTGATGTACGCACACGCTCTCCTGCTGCAGAACGACTCCAGCTGGAGCCTGCTGTGCCGGGAGCAGGGGATCTGGTTCCTGGCTGGAGTCGGAGGCTTCTCCCGGGGCTGTCTCCGTCCCCGAGCCTTCTCCCCGCTGCAGACCCATGGCCCGTGGATCAGCCATGTGACCCGGGGAGCCTACCTGGAGGACCAGCTAGCCTGGGACTGGGGCCCCGAGGGCGCGGACACTGAGCCACAGACTTGCCTCCCCCACACAGAGCACGGTGGTGAGCAGGGGCCCTCGGGCGCACCCGGGGAAGGGTTTCAGAGACCCGGGGCTCCGCTGAGGCAGCCCTCTCCCGTCCTAGCCTGTGGCCTGCGGCCAGAGGCTTCTCCAGCTTGGGCGCTGTGGCCCTGGCTGGCCGAGGTACATGTGGCTGGTGGCCGAGTCTGCACTGGGATCCTCGTAGCACCACGTTGGGTCCTGGCAGCCACCCACTGTGTCCTCAGGTGAGTCTCACACACCTAGGCAAGAGGCTGGCCGGGAAACTGGGAGGTGGAGGGAAGGACTCCTGCCATAGAGGCACGTTCTCTTCTGGGGCTCCTGCAGCACAGGAAAACTGCTGTGAGACACTCGCATTGTTGGTTTGACTGAGGTGCTTGGAGACAGACTTGGAAGGAAGAGTGATGAAGCGGGAGCGGCAGGAGCCCTAGAGATCTGTTCTACCCTTTGCCCTGGACAAGTCAGGCTTTACCTGCAGCAGAGAACAGGAATTGACACTGGTCCTTGCTCCAACAGACTGGGCTCTACAACAGTGCCTTAGGTTGAAGTCTACTTGGGCAGGGCAGGGGCCAGCCCGGTACAGCAGGGCCACCAGCTCTTCCGGTCGGTCATCAGCATCTGCCTGTCCCGGCACCTGTGACTTGGGCCCCCACTGGCCCTCCTGGAGCTGAGCTCCCGGGTGGAGCCCTCACCAGCTGCGCACCCCATTTGCCTGCACCCAGGGGGTGTCCCCCAGGGGCCAGCTGCTGGGTGCTGGGCTGGAAAGACCCTCAGGACCGAGGTGAGAGCCTGGAGTCCTGGGAATGAGGAGTAACTGGAAGCCAGAGCCTGGGGGACCGACCGCCTTCCCTCTCTCTAGTCCCTGTAGCTGCTTCTGTCTCCATCTTGACCCCACGACTGTGTCGCTGCCTGCATCAGGGGATTCTGCCTCCTGGAACCCTCTGTGTACTCTATGGAGAGGGGCAAGAGGACAGGTGTGAGGTACAGGCACCTGGGTATCCTGGCCCAGGGAGGGGAGAAGCAGTGCTGGGCAGCAGGACCCCACGGAGACTGGGGCTGGAATTCCTGGGTGTTGTGCCCCACTTGGGAAGAAGCAATATTTCCTGACTGGGCCTCAGAGAGACAGGCCAGGCTGCCGTGGGGCTGGGGAGATGAGGAGCAGTGTCTGGGGAAGGAAGCTGCAGGGACCAGGAGTAAGGGTAACACCGGTTGCTCTGGGCTCCAACTCTGCAGGTGGCCTCAGCCCCGGCCCTCCTGTGCCACACTGAGGGTGGCTTCTGGGTCCTCATGGGCCTGGCTGTCCGAGGGAGCTGGGAGCTGTTTGCAGCCCTTGGACCGGAAGAGTCCTGGATCTCCCAAACAGTCGGGGAGGCCCACTTCCTGCCCCCTAGTGGCTTACCCTACTGGCCCCCTGAAGGCAGTGGCCTGTGCCCTCCAGACCTGGCAGGGCCCTCCAGTGCCCCTGGAGCTGCTACTCTGTTCCTGCTGTTACTGCCTCCCCTGACCCAGGGCTGGTGAGCCTGCCTCCCAGAGCTAGTCTAGCCAGCCTACCAGGCAGGGCGCCACTTCGACAGCAGGGCAGGAATGTGGCCGGACCAGCTGGGTCCAGGCCTGTGGAGCGCCCCATCCACCTAGCACCTCGCCTAGACTGCAGTGCTTCCAATGACTGGGCCTCAGTGCTGGCTATTTTGGGCCCAGGAATCCTTGGGGGTGGCAGAGCAGACAATAAAGGTATAAACACAGACACTTGGCCTCCTGGCATCTCTGGGGGCGGGCTGAACAGCTGAGAGCTCCCAGCCAAGGAGGAAGCCAAAGGGTAGGTCCCTCCCTCATGGGACACTGAGTCAGGCCTTGGGCTCCCTGAAAATGTGTCCCAGATAACGTGGCAGCTCTGTCCTCTCATTCCTGCCCTAGGGCGGAGGAGGTAAGGGGCCAGCTGGCTGTGTGTCACCTGCCCAGTGGACTTGGTGTTCCCAGCACCTAACGCATACTTCCTCCCTGGCTCACACCCTGGTGCCCCTCCCACTAGAGCAGGATGGACTTAGGGTGAGAGCTAGCCCCCAAATATGCATCCCACAAATGCTACCCCAGAGTCCACCCCCAGCATCCCCAGCATGCACCTTTGAGGAGCTGCTGCTTGTACATCCCACCTGCTGCATCCAGGACCTGGGTGCTTTGCCTGTAAATCCCACTGCCTCCCTCACTGCGGACCTGTGCACCTCCCTGCTTTAAGCCACTGAGGCTCATTGTAACCACAGAGTCTCCCACCCCACACCCCAGTGCGAAACCGAAACCCGCAGGCTAGGGTTAGGGGCTAGGGATCAGGAGGAGGTATGAGCACAGAAAATGGGCAAACAACCTAGACAGGGGTGGCTGGAAGGTGTCAGTGGGGAGGGAGCCGGAAGGGAAATATCTCACTGGGGTGAGAAGGGCGGAGGTTCTTAAAGGGCCAGCCTGAGCCTGAGCTGCCAGACGTCCACAGAGCACTCCCCAGATCCTCCACTGGAAAGCACCTCTGCATGAGCTCTCCACACCAGCCAACCCCCTGGTGCCACCCCTCCTCTCCCAAACCACCCCTCCCCACCACAGAGGCCTTCCTGATCCAGCCCCTTCCACTGACCCACACTAGGACCCTCTCACCTTCAGTCCGAGGTCCGGATTCCCAGTCTTTTGGAAAGGATGGAGAAGAAAGTTCTGTTTTTCCTCAAGCTTGAGCTTAACGCTCCCAGACCACAGATTCACCCTTGCAGATGCGTCAGGCCTTCACCAGGTCGAAAGCCTTCTTTCCCCAAGTCCCTGCCATCCACACCCTCCACCCAAGACCCTGCTCTGCCAAGCCAGGCGAGGTGCTGCTCACCTGTAATCCCAACATTCTTGGATGCTGAGGCAGGAAGATTGAAAGTTAGAGCCCAGCCTGGACAACTCAGTGACGTATGGAGACCTGTCTCAAAATAAAAGATAAAGGGTCAGGGATGTAGCTCAATGTGAAGGCCCGGGGTTCTGGGTTTGAGCCCCAGTAACACAAAAATAGTCTCAGTTTTTAAGGTGCTTCCTTGAGGGTCTCCCCAGCCAGCATCCAGACACTTGCGCCAGAGCCCTCCCTCTTGTCCTAGATTGAGTCCTACTTCTAAATAATTCTATATTTGGCTGTGATTCTATAATTTTTTGAGACAGGGTCTCAATCTGGCAGGTACTCAGTAAATCCTAAGGCACTGCCAGCCACACACTACCTTCAGTGGAGGCTGCAGACTTCACAGAAAGGCCTGGAATGGCACTGTCCTGGGCATCCCCCGGGGACCTGGGCTCAGCTACCTGGCACAAGGAGGGAGGGAGGGAAGAGCAGCAGGCCCCAAGACAACAAAGGCTGGGCGAGCCCCAGGCAGGCATAGCTGGTCCAGGAGGCTGGAAAGACCTGGGGATAGTTGGCTAGCTACGGGGTTTCCAGATTGCCTGGGGTAGCGGCTGCACTGGGCTGGCTGCTTTCACCCCACTCCCCCAGGATCTGTGAGGACTTCAAATTTAGGAGGCTGGGAAAGGCTGTGGAGCTGAGCCAGGAGGGCGGAGCCGAGGGAGGAGCAGGCAGGTAAGTGCCCTTCTCCAAGCAACTGCCACTCTTACTGCGAACACGTCCACAAGCGACTCCCACAGTGGCTGCTCCCAGCCTCAGAAGCCAGCCTAGGACACCTGCTCTACCTTCCCGGCAGAAATTCTGGACTTCCTTACCTCTGAGCCAACACCTGGACTTTGCCTCGAAACCAGGCCCAGGACTGATCTTCCCTTTGTGCCGGGGTGCCTCGGTGGCTGTTGTCCTGGGCCATGGCCCACGGGAGGGGCCTGCGGCCCAGGCAGCTGCAAGCCGTGGCACTTTTCTTCCTCCTTGGATTAATCCAGTTGGGAATGGGTGAGTACCTATGAACGGGGTGGAGAACTGGGGGAAGGGTCATGCAGTAGAATTTGCAGGCATAATCCTCTGACAAACATTCCTTATCGAGACAAGAAGTCCCTGGCCCTTGTGATCCCAGAAGTGTGAGAGGCTGAGGTAGGAGGATTGCAGGTTTGAAGCCAGCTCAGACTTAGCAAGACCCTATCTCAAAATTTTAAAAGGCTGGAGATGTAGCTCAGCGTTCTCTGGGTTCAATCCCCAGTATTGGGGGCGGGGGTCTCCTGGCCTCCCTAGCACTCAGCTTCTCTCTCTGGGCACTGGCTCTCCTCTGGTGTGTCTCTGTGTGTGTGTGTGTGTGTGTGTGTATGTGTGTGTACACTTGCGTGTACAGGAAGGGTGGTTTGGGCGAACTCAGGCTCCTCTTACCCTTCCCTCTTTTTCTTTCTAGGACCGGACAGAGCTGAAGGTGAGACTTACTGGGGAAATGGAAGAGAGAAAGGGGAGGAGACCTGGATTTGGAGTCCCCTGGTGGGTTTAAGGAGTGCTTGACCCTCTCAGCTGGGCTTTTACCCACCCACATTCTCTTGCCTCCCGATTGCTCTGAGTGGAACATTAGGCCTTGGCTTTATGGACAAAGACACGGAGGCCAGCCTGGCAACTTCCAGAGATGCCTCAGAATTGTAAAAGGGCTGTGAGCGTAGTACAGTACAGAGCACTAGGTCAGGTGCCACAAAAGAAAGAAACAGAAGTGCAGGAAGGCAGACTTGCCCAAGGGCAGACAGCCAGGAAATGGTGTCAGTGGATTTAAACTGCATCTGACTCCAGAAGTGCAGCACCCGAGGTCACTTCGAGAGAAATAAGCCCAGGACTTTCCTTCGGAGGCACAGCACCGGGTCTGGGTAGCCATTTACGGGCTGCATCCCTCACTTCCCAAGGCCCCAGCCTCTTCACTTCTAAAATGCATTCGATTCTGTCTATTTCCTGGAGCTGTAGTGAGGATTCTGAGAGACGAAGTGAAAGCCCCTTCCAGGCTGGACAGTGCTGCTGGAACACTCACTAAATAGCAGCTATTGTCATGACTATGAGGACTGGAGGCGCGAGTCCGAGTCCGGAGGAAGGGGACTTTGTGAAGGGCCGCTGGGCCTCCGGGAGCCAGGCCAGGGATGTACAGCCAGCTGCGAGCCCCATGCTGTTCTGCTCCTCCACCTCCCCATCGTTTGATGGGTGCCGGGGACCTGGTAGCATCCCTGGAGAACATCCAGGCCAGTGTGGTTGATGAAGAACAGTTGTGAACCTGGGCAGTGTCACGGGAAGCGCTCCAAGGCCCCCAGAGCCCACGCCTGGCACAGGCTTCAGCGGTGCTGCTCTCTAACGTTCTCCACAGCCTTCGCTCTAATATCCCATCCTGTGTCATATATACCCACCCCACCCCCTGCGCACAGAGCAGAGGGCCAGAGGGTGGCTGAAACCAAGGTGCCTGGAACATGTCTTAGGTCGGTGTGGAGCAATGAAAGGGTTTATCAAGTGGACTGGATAGAAGGCAGGAAGGAGGCTGTCATGAGACTGACTTAGATCAGGAGCAGTCTATGCCCAGCTTTGAACCAGAAGTCCTGGTACATGGCAGGACAGCAGGACTAGGACCTGTGTGGGGCCCTGAAGTTCCTGACTGACCCCTTTCCTTCCCCAAGCAGCCCTCTGCGGTGCAGTCTTCCAGCCCCGCATCACGGGTGGCAACGATTCGGTTCCTGGTCAGTGGCCCTGGCAGGTCAGCATCACCTACGATGGCGTCCACGTGTGTGGCGGGTCTCTCGTGTCTGAGCAGTGGGTGCTGTTGGCTGCTCACTGCCTCCCCAGGTACTAGCAGGAAGGGAGTCAAAAATGGGCTGGAGGTCAAAGTTTGTAGGTCAACCCCAGGTCAGAGGTTGGGGTTTAAGAGCATCAACAAAGTGCAGGGTGTGGTGGCACATGCTTATAATCCCAGCACTCTGGAGGCTGAGGCAGGAGGATCGCTGTGAGTGCGAGACCAGCCTGGGCTATATAGTGAGTTCCAGGTCAGTCTCCACTACATAGTGAGACCCTGTCTCAAAAAACGAAACAAAAAAGTATCAACAAGATAAAAGAAAAAAAGTGACAGCAAAGTAAGTCATGTGTGGTAGCACATATTTAACAATCCTAGCACTCTGGGAGGCTGAGGCAGAAGGATGAAAAATTCCAGCCTAGCCTTTGGTTGACTAAGTAAGACCCTGACTCAAACAACAATAAAAAAGTGAAAAAAAAAAAAAAAAACATGGCTGGGGATACAGCTCAGTGCAAAGGCCCTGGATTCAATCCCCAGTATCACACACACACACACACACACACACACACACACACACACACACACAAGACACTAGTAGAAGTCTGAAAGGTCACAGGATAAAACTAGGCCTTAGGCTGAGCCAGGCATGGTGGTACACGCCTGTCATCCCAGCACTGGGAAGGCTGAGGCAGGAGGATTACCAAGGCCAGCCTGAACTGCACCTGACACCATCTCAAAACTAGGCCTTCAAGGTGCCATGTGGGATCAGTAGACCCTAAGGCAGCAAGGATCCCAGCCTTTACCCCTTTATCTGCAGGGACTACTACAAGGAATACTACGAGGTAAGGCTGGGTGCCCACCAGCTAGACACCTTTGCCAGCGCCGAAGAAGTCCGCATGGTGGCCAGGATCTTCACCCACCCCAGCTACCGGGAAGAGGGCTCCGAGGGGGACATTGCGCTCTTCCTCCTCAGCAGCCCTGTCACCTTCTCCCGCTACATCAGGCCCATCTGCCTCCCTGCCGCCAACGCCTCCTTCCCCAACGGCCTCAAATGCACGGTTACAGGCTGGGGCCATGTGGCCCCCTCAGGTGAGCCCGCTGGCTGCTCAGAGTGGAGGGAGCCTACACAGGGAGGCCTTTGGTAAGCACTTTTTGCCCCCACAGTGAGCCTTTCAGCCCCCAAGATACTACAGCAACTTGAGGTGCCACTGATCAGTCGCGAGACATGTAATTGCCTGTACAACATCAACCCCAAGCCTGAGGAGCCCCACACCATCCAGCAGGACATGGTGTGTGCTGGCTACGTGACAGGGGGCAAGGACGCCTGCCAGGTGAGCACCAGACAGGGGCAGCTGAGTGCACAGTGGAGTGGGGCCGGGTACGGCGGACCAGAGGCCAGCGCTGTCCTGACGCTGCTGTCCTATCGCTTTCCTCCTCAGGGTGACTCTGGGGGCCCACTCTCCTGCCCTGTGGAGGGCGTCTGGTACCTGGCAGGCATTGTGAGCTGGGGTGATGCCTGTGGGGCCCCCAACAGGCCTGGTGTGTATACTCTGACTTCCAGTTACACCTCCTGGATCCGTGTCCACGCCACAGAACTCCAGCCTCACATAGTGCCCCAAACCCAGGAGTCCCAGCCCGACAACCACCTCTGCAATAAGTATCTGGGCTTCAGCTCCGCCCCAGCTCAGGGCTTGCTGTGGCCCATGCTGCTGCTGCCATTGAGCCTGACCCTGAGCCTCTTCTGCTCCTGGCACAAGCACTGACCCCGCTTCCAGGAGCAACACATCACGCCCAAGGGCCTGTGCCTATTCCCAGGAAGGGAAGTGGCTGGCCTTTCCCACGCCTTTTGGGCCTGGGGCCCTGATTGGCCACACCATCCTCCGAGGACTCTGGGGAGTCAGGGCACCATCCTTCTAAATTGATCTTTGGGCCCATCCTTCTAAATTGGCTCTCTGGAACTGAAACACATGGCCAAGGGCTTTTTGGCCTGCGGTCCTGGCCAGAAGCACTGGCCACCTCTGTTGCTGTCTGCAGCTTATTGGTTGGGTCCTGTGGAGCTCCAGGCCATGGCTCCCACCTACTTCTACAAGATGGGCAGCTGCCTGGCCGGCTGCTGCTGAGGGCCTGCTCCATGCCACCTGCCCTGCCCGATGAGCCCATCCATCGTGTGGCCTCCCTGGCTTCTGGGCTCACCTGCCTTGGTGATGGGAAAAGCCTCAATCTTGCCCCACTGGTTACCCGGCCAGAGTTCTGACTCTCATACTCCGGAGGACTGAGCCCCCACTGGAACTGAGCTGGGGGCTTGGATCAGGGGTAGGGGATAAAGGATCAAGAAGGAGTAAAATGTTTTGAGCACAACCAGCTGTGTTTGAAATGAAATGAAGAATGTCAAATCTTGGCCTCTCCCTCCCGCCTCGTAAGTCCTGAGCCACCAACAGAATTTACTTTATTAAAAAATGACAAAAGAGGTCTGTACATATTTACAGCTAGGAGCAAAGAGGCACAGGTCTAGAAAGGGCACGGATGCTCACTTCTTGGACAGCTTGACTTGCTTGTGCTTGGGGGGGGCCCACTTCAGGCAGACAGAGTCCACTGTGGGGAGAGGAGACATGAGTGGCAGACTGGGCTTCTGGGCCAGGCCTGCTCACACCTGGCAGCTCCAGTCTGGGCCCAGCCTCGGTTTCACCGCTTCCAGGCAGCTGGAGTCCTGGGGAGGGCAGGGCAGAGAAGCCCAGGGACAGTAGCCTGCCCTGGGCTGTACCCAGGCAGCTGGTCTGACTGGTCTGGGATCATGTGACAGCGATGAGAAGGCCCGAGCTCCCAGCAGCCTTTACACCCTACACACCTGTGATGGGTGGCTTCTTGTACTGGGCACTTTTGAGGTGTTCTTCCACAAGCTTGGGTGTGACACAGATCACGTGCTGGCCCTTCCAGTACTTGACCATGTTGAGAGACTGCAGGGTACTGATGATGTCATTCTGGGTGATACTGGTCATCTGGCTGCAGAGGGGATTAGGGCGGATGTGCAGATGGACCCCCTCCATTAAGGTTCCAGAATGTCCTTAACGGACGGCGAGCCCTGGACATGGTGGGGGCCACAGACCTCACCTCAGGTCCTTGATGGACAATGTGCCCCGGAAGTCGCGCAGTATCTCCAGCAGGACCCATGACCAGTAGCTGCGGTAGCTGAGTTTGCCCAGGTCAGACAGTGGCTTCTCTGGGGAGCCGACTGTGCTCTCCAGCTTGGACAGCTCATAGCCTGGCAGTGACAGAAAGGATTCCAAGAACCCAACCCACCCTGACACTCCACCCTCCACGGTCCCCACCACCACAGCAGCCCCTCTCCTGACAGGGCAGGGTTACTCACTGAAAGCTATGAGGAACTTCCCATAGCCGCGGCGCTGGTAAGGGGGCAGGGTGAGGATGCAGGCCACGTTGTTTCCATCTGGGGACTCCTTTTCCTGAGGGGGTAGGTGCTCAGGACCCTGGGAGGCTCGGCCCCTACTCCAGCTTATACCCCTCACCTCCCCAGTGGGGCTCCCTGATCCAGCACCTTGGAGAAGTAGCCCACAATGTGGGCCCCTTGCCTGTCCACTTCTGTCAAGATGTAAAAGACGAAGGGCTCCACGTCAAAGTACAAAGTCTTGTGATCCAGGAAAAGCTTGGCAAGCAGACACAAGTTCTGACAATAAATCTGAGGGGTGGAGAGGTGGAAATAGGCTCAGAGAGCAATTATGATGCCCCAACCAGCCTGGCCCTGAGAAGCCACCCTGCTTTTCTGCAGGCAAGCACCAGGGTCCAAAGAACAACCAGCGCCTGGCCAGGGGAAAGTGAACCCTCGCCAGAATAACAGCATTTACACCTGGAAGTAGTCTGAAGCGTCAACTTCTGAGGACGAAAAAGCCAACAATCGGAGCCACTGGCACTCAACAAAGTAATGACAGAACTGGATTAATCATGGCTATCACTTTTGAGTTCTAAATACCAGCATGCAGAATCTGGTTCCATCTTCACAGACATCAACTTCTTTCAGAACAGGAAGTTGAGGCTCACAGGAAGTGAGTGGCTTGCTAAAGGTTCCATGGCTGGGGGATTCCAGGGTGAGAATTCAACTGGAAACAAGTCCTGTGTTGCTCACAGTAGCCCCAGCGCTAGCACAAAGTTCAGCTGGAAGCCAAAGGAGGAGCCCTGACTATGAAGCCACAGCTCCATCTGCCCATCCAACCACACTTCTCGCTGGACACTGCCAGTGCCTTGGCAGCACCCACAGACCCCCACAGGAAGCACCAAGGAGAGGGGCCTTTCGGTTGGCTTCACGGCACAGGCCATGGGGATCTCTGGTTATGAAACCTCTTCCCATCTGCTCTTTCACTTGACCTAACAAATGTGTGGGCCCAAGACTGCTAGTCCCGTTTGACTTAGGAGGAAGGGCAGCTCTTGGACAGGACTGTCTGCCTGCAGGCTGACTGCTGGCAGAGCACGGAGGAGGAAAGGTCCCCACATCTCTAGGGGGAAGGCAGAGCAGCGGAGTCAGAGTCGAGTCGGTAACCCCAAGCACTGAGCCCCTCCAGGGCACCAATAATAATAAAGGCTGTGTCTACTAAGCACCTGCTACACACTTAACATCTGCAGTCTCATTTATTCCACCACCAAAACTATTAGGCAATTAATTATGACTCTTGTCTTATGGAGGAGGAAACAGGAACAAGACAACATTAAGTAACTAGTCTAAAGTCAACAGGAAGTGACAGGACAATTTGAAGCCAGGAACTCTTCATCTTATATTATGTTGCCCTTCAAATGGCAACCAGTATTCCTGGTGAGACCTTCCCAAACTGACTCTCAAAGGCCACTTTTCAACAATGGCACAGTAGGCTCCAAAGGCCGATGCTTGCCACTCTGAAGTTATTCTGCCAGGAACAAGTAATTTAGGCAGCATTAGCCCTAGAGCTCTTGCAGGAATCTCACACAAAGAAGTTCCCCCCAGGTAAACACAAACACCTTTCAGCAGAGGGAAAGAGCTAAGAGCAGCTTCAGGCAAGAAAATCTCTGCCCTGGGCTCCTGAACTACCCCAACCAGAACCACCCTCATCAGAAGTGAAATTCTCAAGGGCTGACAGGAGGGCTGGCCCGAAGCTGGGCTCAAGACCGAGGCCTCTGCCTTGTGGTGGTGAAGAGCCCCCCACTCCCCACAGCTCTGGGCCACCATCTCACCTTGTGGTCTTTGCCATCTACTTCGTACACAGAGATGTTGCTCTTGCGGTAGATCTCCTTTCCAGGCGGCTGCCGCCACTGACACTGACCCTGGGGCGGGGGTGAGGGAACAGGAGCTTGAGACCCTAAATGGTCCACTAGGTGCTTCCCATCCCAGGCTGTGTGGCTCAGAGCAAGTCTCTGCCTGTCTGTTTCCGCATGTGTAGACCCTCTGCTCAATGCTTTACCTATATCAAGTAATCTTCCTTGGTTTCTTCACCTGTAAAATGGGATCTACTTCCTAACCAAGTCTCAGAAAGGTTAGTAATTTCCTCAAGCACCATGCACAATTCCAAGTCTACGTAGAGTTGACTCTAGAGGACATTCAACCATGACACTGGTTTTCCGAAGCCACACAGATGCAGATCCCACACTTGGGGAAAACACATCCCACCGCGCCCCCAGCTACTAACGAGTGCCTCCTGCTTGGTAAACACCCCTCCCTGCCCTTCCCACCTGTTAGAACAGAAGTCCCAAATACTGAGGGGCTATACTTGTTTCCTTCTTTGCCCTAGGGACCCCTAGCACTGGGCTGGCCTTGAAAAACACTTAGTAAAGGGTAAAGAACTCAAAAGATTACTGTCCCCGTTCCATATATAAGAGAAAACTGCTGGGCATGGTTGCACATGCCTATAATCCTAGCACTCTGAGAGGGTGAGGCAGTATGATCCAAAGTTTGAGCATAGCCGGGGTAATTTAGAGCCTTAGCAAGAGTCCTTCTCAAGATAAAATAAAAGGGCTAGGCATGGTGGCACACATCTGTGATCCCAGCACTCAGGAGGCTGAGGCAAGAGGAGTGTTCCAAGTTCAAAGCCAGCCTAGGCTACCTAGTGAGTTCAGGACAGCCTGAATTATGTAACAAGACCCAGTCTCCAAAAAACAAGAGGAAGACCAGGGATTTGGCTCAGAGGTTCCGCTGTCTGCCTCGAAAGCACAAGGGCCTGAGTTCAATCCCCGTTACCAAAAGCAAGAGGAAACTGAGGTCTAGAAAGAGACAGCAAGTTGGCCAAAGTCCCCCAGCCAGCAATGGCAAAGCCGGGAATCTAGATCTCCCTACCCTTGGGTTCCTCGCAGTACTGAGCTCCTCTGAACGTGTACCTTCCCTGGGCCGCATGCTCAGTGCTCAGCTGCCCTCCCTCCACCCTGCCCAGTGAGCCTCACCAAGTGGAAGCGGTAGCTCTTCTCATATTTCATGTACTTGAGGCAGTACTCGCACAGCCAGAGCTTGGGCTGCTTTCCATAGTCTTCAGGGAATGGCGAAAAGTACCAGGCATCAATCTCGTAATTTCCAATGTGGATCTTGTCCACGTACTTCACCTTGGTGATCTGCAGACAGAGTGGGAGTAAGGGCTCTGCCCCACTCAGCAGGGGCAGGAACTTCCCAGTCAGGACCGCAACCCTACTTACCGCCTCATGTTCCTTCTCCAAGGCTGCTGTGGTGGGGTCCATCTCCGCGTAAGTCTGGGCAAAGTTAGAGAAGTAGGCACAGATCAACAGAATGGGGACCGTGCTGTCCCTCCCCTGCCCCAGAACCCGTGGAGCTTCCCTGTCTTCCAGATCCCAGCCTGTAAATGACAGTAATAGCCACGTAGCTCATTTGCTTTCCTTCACTTCATCTGAACCTCGCTGCTCCAAGCTTCTCTCCTGTCTGCTCACCTACCCACACCATTTGCCAGACGAACAGGACTGGGTTGGAAAGGTCTTCGGCTGTATGTGAGGTAAGCCGGCTCTGAAGGTGTTGAGAACCAGATGAAACAAGTCTCATCTGTGAGATGCATCCGGAGTAAGAACTGCTGCCCACACTTCGATGAGCTTGGACCTCTTTTCTGAGCACCAGACCTATGTGGCTGCCCGTCCACGGGAAGGAGGACCCTGACGTGCCTGTCCGAAGCTTACTCCTCCTCCTGGGGCCCCCCTGGCATGCAGCTCAATAGCCCAAGACCAGAAACAGCCTGCTCTGAAAACACTTCCCATTTCTTCAGCCTGGCATCCAGTTGGCAGCCAAGTCCTGATAGAAGGGAAGCCACTCCACGTCCCTGATATCTCTGGAATCAGTCCCTCTATCCAACTCCAAATAGTCACGGTCACTGTCTCTGATGTGGACAATGGATTAGTTCTCCTCGGATTCCCCGCTTTGTCTGGGTGACCTCAAATCTATAGCTAGCGACACCCCTTTTCCCTGCCTTCCTGCTGCCCATCACGCTGCCCAAGTGCTCGGTCAACCTGGCAGGCCCGAGTCAGGTGAGTCCACGACACAGCAGGACTTTGTGAGCCATCATGTGTAACTGCTTTTATTGTGTTTTCCTGGCTTCAAGGCTCGACATCCCCCTCACTCCCACCAGGAACCCTGCCTAGATTCTTCCTACCTAAAAAATACCCGTCAGGAGTGGTCAGTGCAAGATGTTTCCACTTGTCTACTTCCCTCCCTCTATTTTCCAAGTTATTTCACACAACACGCCCCATTAAGCCAAACTCTGCAGCTGGAACCAAGCACAGCCTGACAATGCAGATCCAAGGACTATGGCCTACACCAGATCAGATGCGCTCCAAAATTGAGGAAGTCAGCTTTCACCCAGGAAGCCCCTCCACAAAGCACTTTACCTCTGTGCTACCTGGTTTTAGTTGCGCCTTGACAGACCTGACAGGGGTGCTCTTTGTTTTCAGTACAGAGGACTGAAGCCAGCACCTTTGCACCCACGTGAACTACATCCCCAGCCATGTTTGTTGAGACAGGATCTAAGTGGCTAAATTGCCCAGGCTGGGTTCGGGAACTTTTGATGCTCCTGCCTGCCTCAGCCTCCCAGTGCCTCCAGTATGTGCCACCACCCCTGCTGATAAAACATTCCTACTTCAATTTTACACAGTAAACAAGCAGGGATCCATGAGGTCACTTGCCCTTGGGGCAATTTAGCCTGGTGTCAAGCACTCCACAGACATCATTTCATTTAGCCCTCACAACAAGTCTTTGAAACAAAAGTGCTCATTATCCCCACCGTACAAAGGAGGAAACTAAGGCACAGAGGCAAGTTCACTTGCTCAGGGTCATGGAACTAAGAATTCGGTAAAAGCACATGGTCTGTCCAATTCTGAGCCTACACACCAAAAAGGAAGAAAAAAAGGCTTTCTTCCTCCTGTCTCTAAAACATTTCCAACTCTCAAAACACAATGGTCTTGGGGTAGGGATTTAGCTCAGTTGTGCCACCGCCTGCCTCAAAAATGCAAGGGCCCAAGTTCGATCCCTGGTACCAAAACAAAAATAAAACAAAACACAATGTTCTTCTGCAAATGCACTAAAAAACTACAAAACACTGCTTTTCTTAAATGCTGCAATTTATGTGGAATTAAACATCAGGGGGCCGGGGATTTAGCTCAGTGGTTCCTCCGCCTGCCTCACAAGCACAAGGACCCGAGTTTGATCCCCGGTACCAAAAAAAAAAGAATTATCAGGGAAGTTATGAATTAACTTGTTAGTCATTAACTTTTTTTCAGTACTGGAGATTGACCCCAGGGGCTTGTGCATACTACACAAGTTCTCCACACCAAGCTATACCTCCAGCCCTTTTCAGTTTTTTGGTTTATTTTTCCCTAGTTCTTTTAGAGACAGGCTCTTACTAAGATGCACAGGCTGGCTTTGAACTAGCAATCATCCTACCTCAGCCTCCTGATTAGCTCAGGTTACAGGTGCGTAGCAACATTCTATTACTTTGTGTGGTATGGGAAATTGCATTCAGGACCTTCACACTTTGTATATTTTATTTGGAAACAGGGTCTCAGTAAGCGTCCGGGCTGGGATTACAGGTGTACACCAGTACGCCCTGCTTACTGCCTATTCTTTATCACCATTGCCTGGCCCATTATCACCTACCCAGCCAATTAGCAGCTTAGAGGTGCATTTTTGTTCAATGTAAACTTCTTGGGAAATGAACAAGGTCTGAGACTTCTGCTGTCCCAGAGAGTAGCCACTAGTCACGTGTAAGTGGGGTTTTTTTTTTTTTTTGGTACCAGGGATTGAACTAGGGTCCCTGCGTCTATGAGGCAGGTGGCAGCACCACTGAGCTAAATCCCTGGCTCACACATAGCTATTTAAATTAAATGTTTAAAAATATTAGTAAATTAATGTTTAAAAATTCAATTTTGCTGGGCATTGTGGTGCATGCCTATAATCCCAGCACTCAGTTGGGAGACTGAGGCAGGAGAATCACTCCAATACTGAGGCCAGCCTGGACTACACAGTGAGATCCTGTCTCAAAAATAAACTTAAAAAAAAAAAAATGTAATATTCTTAGTTACACTAAATATATTTCAAGTGTTCCACAGCTACCCATGACTGATATCTATATTGGATCACACAGCTACACATTTCCATTGTAACAACTTCAGATGAACAGTGCCACCTTAGACCTGGAGGGACCATTCTAATGTAGGGTATTTTAAATTTGTTTTTTTAACATCATATCCACAATACAAAGTGCAGCTGGCACTATCAACCTGATTACATGTTTTTGCACACACATCCACACATCTGTATGTGAAATAAAAGCTTCTCAACACAATACTTACCCTTGGTAAAGTGCAATGCGCTCAGATGCTTTAAGCTATTTCCTTTTTATATTTTTAAAATGCAAATGTTGGCCACACCCACTGAATTGATTTTGCAACCTAATAGGTTGTGTCCCACAATCAGAACACATCACTGTAAAGCACACAGTGTGTGCTCACAAAGATGAAACTGTACCACGAGAACTAATGACTACTCAGGGCCTTCAGAACTTCCTAAGTCCTGTTTTAGTTTGTGCTCCTCACTTTTTAAATGAAAAAACCGAGGCTCCAAGTGGAGGGAAAGGAACCCTGAAGGGCAATCTAACTTTGTAAAAAGAACAAAGAAGTAAGATGTATTATGTACGTGGACCAGGTGCCCTTCAGTGAATGCAATCCTAGGTAGTTTTTTTTTTTTTTTTGGTACTAGGGATTGAACTCGGGACCTTGCACTTGTGAGACAGGCGGCAGCACCACTGAACTAAATTCCAGGTCCTGTACTGTATTTTAATACCACAAAATTTTTAAAAAACTAACGAAGAGCCTGGGTTGTTTTTTATTGTTCGCTTTCTGAAGTAATGGGGACTGAGCCCAGGGCTTTCACACTAAAGTATAATCCCAGTCCTTTTGTTTAGTTTTTTTTTTTTTTTTTTTTTTAAAGGTAGGGAATTGCAAGAAGTTCAGGCTGGCCTCAAACTCATAGCAATCCTGCCCCAGCCTCTTGAGAGCTGGGACTACAGGTAATGTTCACCACACCTGGCAAGAATTTGGGTTTTGGAGTTTCTGAGATATGTCAAAAATCATGGTTAAATTGGGTGTGGTGACACACACCTATAATCCTAGCACTCAGGAGGCTGAGGCAGGAGGCTATGAGTTTGAGGCCAGACTAGGCTATACAGCGAGACCCAGTCTCAAAAAACCAAAACCAAAATCATAGTTAAGTGGTCAGACTCTGAAGTAGGACAATATAGTTGGCAGATCTAATAATGACTGGGTTCCTAAACCTATCTGCCTCCTCTACAAACTGTATATAACAAAGTTTACCTCACAGGGTTGCTATGAAACATAAGTGAGATCATGTACTAAAATATTTGGCCTAATACTTTGGCTCACAGACCAATAATGTTTGGGATAATTATTCTAATTCCAGCCCACCTTTTTACTAGCTGTGTGACCTTGGGTATATTACTCAACCTTTCTGAACCTGCTTCCTCATCTACAAAAAGTAATTTTCCTTATGGTATTGCATTGCTAGGGAGGATCTGATGAGTTTATATATGTACAGTTTGGTGCTTGGCAATAGCCAGATGTCCACTATCATTCATTCTTTCTTCTCTTTGGACTTTAAGTCATTTTGTCTAATATGACACAGCCATTGGAATCAAAAGAGGTTACTGGAGCCGGAGTGCCAGTTCCCACACTGTGCCATTTCCTTGCTTTGAGACTGCAGCAACCCCTTTTCCTCTTTGAGCCTCAGTTTTCTGACCTATGAAGAATAAAAGAGAGACAGGAAAAATCCCTGACACACAATAAGAATTTAAAAAACAGAGGAGTTGCTGTGGTTTGGCAACAGGCCAAGAGGCCTAAGGGGGTTCCCAGAGGCAGCTGGGCCACTTGGGCCCTGGGGAAGGGGAGGGGCCCTGACCTTCTGCACATGATTGATCTCATCATGCTTGCGCTTTTGGTTGCGAGTGATCTTGCGCTCAGGCTGCTCAGCCAGCTCACTGAGGTACTTTTCTGAGTTCTTCTGCACAGCGTCTTTCACTGTCTTGGTCAGTGCCAGCCGGTTCTTGTCTACCCATTCATCCAGTCGCCTGTTAACTGTTAGGATGGGCCATGAGGATGTTGCCCAGATTCCCCTCTCTCCCGCCCAGACTCAGAGGCCCCACAGCACTCACAGCCCACATAGTGCACATAGAATTCCTCTCGGCCCTCCTGGTCATTCACTCGAGACTGGATCACTTCCGCAGAATCTGTGAAAGAAAAAAAAAAAAGACTAGGATCATCAGAAAGGGAGGGTTAGAATAAGTTTCCAGATTTCCAGCAGTTTTTAGATTATCTGCACACATCCAACACTGGTAGAACCTTGTGAGATGGGCCACGTTGGAGTTGTTACTCCTATCTGACAGATGAGAAAAATCTTTAAGGTCTAGCCAGAGTCACGGATTTGTAAAGTGAGAAAAACTAATACTTAACTGAGTTTTAAGTCTGACTCCAAATTCATACTCATTTCACTACACATATTGTCATTTATTTGGAGGACATGAAAGCTTGATGACTGAGACAGCTTGAGTTTATATATTTCTTGCTCCCCGTTTCCTAGCTATATATAAATGAGCCAGTTATTTTGACTTTTTGAGCCTCAGTTTTTTCATCAGGTACTAGTTCCTACCTCAAGACTGAGTTAATGTCTCCAAGATTTTTACTCCAATGTGGGAAAACTAGCAAACCATTTGACCCATGAATAAGACAACCATTGCCTGTCTGATGCTATGCTGTGCCATTGCTGGACACTGAGGAACAAGTAGTGAATCACAGAGATCTTGCCCTACAGAAGTTCCCAGTTTAACAACAGAAGACACAGAAAATTACAACATACCACTATGCGTACTACAGCTGAGATATGAAAAAAATGTCACAGGAACATACAGAAGGGAACAACCCAATGTGCCTGAAAGGGTCAAGAATGGCAGCATAAAAGATGGAAGTTAAAAGCATGAGGAGAAACTAGACAAGTCATTCCAAGCAGAGGGTACAATGGTAAAAGGCATTCAGAATACACAGCATGTTCTGGTCTAACAATGACCTTTGTGAGGTGGCTAGAAACCGGAGGGGTCAGAGAAATTGTCATTCAAAGGAGACTGGGGTTTATTTTGAAAATGAGGAAAGGCAATGGAATGCAAGAAAAGAAAGTTGTTTTCGTGTTGTCATGTCCTCTTTGCTGGCACCATAGGAGACGACGGAAAGGAAAGGCACAGAGACAAAGGGACCAGTGAGTAAGCAGGGTTAGAAGAAAAGGGAATGAAGCCTAACAGCAGGCAAGGAAGTGGAATGGGAGAGCTGTACTCTAAACTTTTGGTGATCACGCTGCTGGCGGCTCTGCAGTGGCACCCAGCATAACCTAAAGGTGACAGCCTCCCCTTTCTGGGGTGGCTCCTCAGGGCCCGCAACTCCTCCTCTCTCCAAGTCCCCGCCCCCGCCCTCCGGAGGACCAGTGGTCCGGGCCCTCCCCGCAGCACCGCCCCTAAGCCCTGGGCCCCGCCCTCACGCCAGGTGCTGTCCGGACGCCGACACAGGTACGTTTCTCCGATCTCCACCGTAACTTCTGGCTCGCCGCGCGCTGGGGTCGGCGGAGAGACCCGGCCCGGAGATGGGGCTGTTCCCTCGACCGCCGCATTTTCCCCAGGGCTGGGCTCGCCCTCTCCCACAGCCCCCGAAGTAGCTGCTGCAACTGCTGCAGTTGCTCCCTGTGCCGCCATCGCGGTAGCGGAAGTGACGCTAGAGTTCCGCGCCGCCCAGCCCTTCTAGCTCCGGGTCAGCGGGGCGGGGCCTTAGGCTGTGGGTGGGCCTGTGACATTGGCAGGAGGTTATAGGTTCCGGGGCGTCCCGAGGCGCTACGGCTTGTGGGAGGGGGGACGCAGAGGTTGCGTGAATTCACTTTCGGTGTGGTGCACGGCTTCTCCGGGGAGCAGAAGAGACTACTTTCCTACTGTAATGACACATCTCAGATTTTTTTAAAGGTCCGATGGTGTGGAAGCCAAGATGTGTCAGTTTGCGGGCCTTTGGCCTTTCTAACTGGCGGAATCATTGTGTCCCGTTGTCTGGCTCAGGATTGGACCTGGAATTAGCACCCCCTTCTGTCCCGCTCTACCTACTGCGCCTGCTTAATTCCTATTTGTAAATTCAAAGGACTGCGCCTCTTGAGGGAGGGAATAATACATTTGGGGTGGGGGGAAAACAGGTGTGTCCAGGAGTAGCCAGTAAGTCATCCTCAGAATCAGCTTTACAAGCTTTACAGGATAAAGTTATTGTTTAACAGTGCCTAGCGATGCAGTGTGGCTGGCTTGAAACTCATCCCCCTAAGTGCTGGGATTACATGTAGGAGTCACTAAACCTAGCAGAACAAAGACTTTTTAAAGAAAGGACAGGCAGTGGATACAATAAAGAGCATCTTGCTAAGTGAGGTTTAACTCTGACCCTACCTTGGGTATGGTAGACAAGTGTGTAAATTGCCTACAATTACCAAAATTTTTTTGTGTTTTGAGACAGGGTCTCACTATGTAGTTCAGACCGGCCTCGAACACTCAGCGATCCTCCTGCCTTGACCTCCCAAGTGCTGGGTGAGCCATCATCACCGGGCTCAGCAAGGTTACATGTAATGTATATATGTGTGTCATTAATATGTATATAAACTATATACAGAGGCAGTATACAAGTATATAAAACAACTACAGAACTCCCTGTTTAATTTCACATGACCCGTGTCTTTCACAATAATCAGGTGAAGTATAATGATTTCTTTTTTTAAACCAGGGATCAAACTCCAGACCTTGCGCTTGAGAGGCAGGCAGTGGCACCACTGAGCTAAGTCCCCGGAGAGTATAATGATCTTTGTTCTTGAGATTTATAGAACTGGCAAACATCTCTTCGACTAGGTATTAGGATTCTGTGCTTTACTTGTCACCAGCCCTCAACTGTGAGAAAGTGTGCATCAGTGCTCAACAACCTATTTCCTATCCAGACTGTCCAATAAAATGGCTTTTGAGGGACAAGAATCCCTGCTATCTTCTAGTGATCTCACTTGTAATAGTTCTTTCTCAGCCAGGCATGGTGGCACGTCTGCATTCCAAGCACTCTAGAAAGCTGAGACAGGAGGATCACAAATTCTGGTCCAGATTGAACAACACAGTGATTTCAAAAGACCCTGTCTCAAAAGATAAAAAGGGCTGGAGGAGTTAGGCATGGTGATGCACATCTGTAATCCCAGCACTCGGGAGGCTGAGGCAGGAGGATTGGGGAAAGTTCAAGGCCAGGCTGGGCTACACAGCAACCCAGTACCAAATAAGTAATGTATTCTTTCTTTCTCTACCACAGCCTTATTCCTTTATAAATGTGTGGCCTGGTACCAGGCAGAGTATGTACTTAAACATTTGTATATGTGCTGCCAAAGCGAGCACCATACTTAAACATTTGCTTCCACCAAAAGTTTATAATTTGACTGTTAGGCTTCGAAACAGAAACAGTTCTGAGATGGAATGCTTAGGGCCTGAAGATGGGGCTCAGACACTATAGTTCTGTTAATATCCAAGTTAGGTATCTGTGAGGAATGGCAGTGGGAGGACTTGGCAACCTAGTTTTGGGAGATGAAGGCATTGGGGATGGGGAGTGAATGCTAGATACTGTAGCATAATTGGGCCAGGGATTTAGCTCAGCAGCACAGTGCCTGCCTGGCAAGCCTGAGGTCCCGAGTTCGATCCCCCGTACCAAAAATTCCTTTTTTTTGGTACCGGGGATCGAACTCAGGACCTGGCACTTGCAAGGCAGGTGGCAGCACCACTGAGCTAAATTCCCAGCCCTAAGAGTTCTTACTTGGGGTTCTTCTGCTTCACTTTGTATTTCACTGACATCTCCGATTACAGATTTAAGGATTAGCCTAAACCTTACAAATCCCTGATCAGGGTCATGGCATCACCCTCCTCACTATGCTCCCCCCATCCAGTGGCCACCAGTAGTTCTAACGTGAAATCTGACTGCTCCTCCCAGAATTGTGTAGGGCTGCTGCAGCCAGGTCCTTTGTTGTTTCTGTGCCTAGATTACCTTTGACGATCTTCCATATAACTATTAGCTCTGGACTCTGGTGGAGGTCTTTCTTTGGCAGTACTGGGGATTGAATCTACACTTTGCGTAAGGCTAGGCAAGTACTCCACCTCTCAGCCACACCCCAGCCCTGGCTCTACTTTTACCTGAGATCACGTCCTTGCTTGGCCTCTCTGCCTTTCCCTTCCCTGATTCCCATACTGCCATTTGGAAGCACTTTTTTCTCCTCTCAGAGTTGACCTCCAGGGAACCTTACCTGAAACATCCCTTCCTAGTTTAAAACCCACAAGTGGATCCCTACAAGCTCCATCCAGGATGACACCATGCTTCAAGCCCTGTACCTTCTAGTTGCTGCTCGCCTTTCCGGTTGCACCTTTTTGTAATGCATCCAGCATGATTTCAGCATAGCATCATGGCTCCCTATTAACTGCCCTCCAAAAAAACGATGTCTCCCCTCAGTCCCCACCTCCGCCACCTTGAAGGGCAAGAGACTATACAGGCCTGGTGTCTCTCCAGTCCCACCAGGCAGATCCTCAGGCCCGTGTCCCTGACAGGGTGGGCAGGGTGTTTCCCTCTGAGACGTTCCCTGGAGTTCCCACAGGAAGTTCTACCTCAGGTCTAATCTTGAGCCCTTTCCTTTAGCCCACGTTCCTGGCTCTCCCTACCAGGGCCTACCTTTCTCTTGTGGAGTACTCAAGTCTTTGCTGGGCCCGCCAGGACACAACCTTGTGTGTTCCCCTTCTTGGCAGCTGGCAGGCAGTATTTTTAACCTTACTTAGGCTCAGGAATCAGGTGGCTCAGGAGGTTAGCCAGTCTTATGACCTTCATCTCTAAAACCTGTAATTGCCTGAAGGGAAGTCCGTAGAGCCGGAAGCTATGTCCACCTGGGCTTTCAATGCTGTCTGGGCCCCAGAAACATTCATTAAATTGGATGAAAAAAAAATCTTTGCATGAGCTACTAAAGTCACCTCCCTTCTTTTGCCAAATAAAACAGGCAAGACTTGGAGCTAGTTCTGTTCCTGTCCAGTCAGGCATTCAGGTCAGTTAGAGATTAAGACATGAACCACTTAAACCCAAGGACCCAGGAGGCCTGAAAGAGCAGAAACAAAAGCTCCTCTGCCCTCCCCAGAGACAGGACCCAAGAGGACATTCAGAATGTGAATTTTAATAACAAACAGCAGGTCAAATAGGGGTTCCCCAGGAACAAGAATAACAGAGCTGGTGCTAGAGCCCCAGAGGTCCCTGCTTCCTCCCCTCCACAACCAGGAGGTGAGAAACCAGTGGGCTCTACTGAGGAGGGGTGGCACCCAGCTCCATGTAAGTCCTTCTGGCTGAGGCCTGAAGACCTAAGGTGCAGCAGTGTGTGGAGCAGAGTGCCACTGTGCCCAACCCAGAAGGTCCTGGCAGGCAAGCAGGCCAGGGGTCAGATTCGGAAGCTTTCCTCCCGGCCATCGATGTGTCGGAGCCGCAGATAGACATCTGTGCCGATGCCCTGCAGGGACTGCAGCTGTAGGGAACCACCAAGGTACTCTGCGTAGGCCCGAGACGTGGGCAACCCGAAGCCAAAACTGAGGGAAGACGGGCAGGACAGGAGGCTTCAGAGGCTTGAGTCTCCTGGGTTCACCCCACCTCTAGCCTGGCCAGGCAGGACCTCACCCATGCATGGGTCCTGACTGGCTGCCACTGTGCATGTCCAGATGGCCAAAGAGGGGACTGATACGGGGATCCTGGGTGCTGGCCTCCGCTGTAGTGAAGTGGTAATCCATGACCCGATCCAAGTTTGTGTGAGCGACTCCTCCACCCCGATCTGAAATCCTGGCAGGGTGTTGACAACATGGGATGGGCTTGGCTCAGGCTCATGGGGTCTGACTTCCTGTGCCTCCCACCCAAAGGCAGAATGTGGTCCACCTTGTGTGTTTAAGCTGCCTTTCTCCACCCCCACTCTGCTCAGGCCACTGACTGCTTCTACTATCTCACAGGATTTGCCACTTATCCTCACCCAGCCTCAAAGACTGGTTTCCCAACTCGAGGCCCCTCAGTTGCTGACACAGGCAAGGTGCTGGGCCCACAGTTGGCCCAAATCCATTAGTATCCAGGCCATGGCAATCTCAGGACTAGAGACTTTTCTGACCAGGACCCTCGTTCCAGAGTGGGGAAGGTACTGGCTCAAGGTTCTACAGTGACTGGACCTACTGGCCTCCATCCCTGCCCACCTCCACTGCTCAGGGCAAACCTGATGATGAAATCGATATCATTGTTGGCGATAGTGATGACCACATCCGGGACGTTGTAGGGAGTGTCTAGGTGACTCTCCATGGTGGCTCTACACAGAGTAAAAGACAGTGGGTGGCAGCACCTGGTTCCTGTCTGTCCCCACCCACCATACCCAGCCTGCCCACCTCATGGCATTCTTGAGCAACTCGGGCAGGATGTAGTCCAGTGGCATAGGGATGAAGGGAAAACGAGCGGCCACATGTCCGTTGATGCGGACTCGGGGGGCATTGCCATACTTGTGCTCACACAGGCGTCTGTGGACAGAAGGGTTCAGACTGGTGCCTTAGGGTAGTAGTTCTCATCTAGCGCCAGTTCTGCTCCTCTTGGGCACAACTGGCAGAGTATGGAGATATTCTTGCTTGTCACACCTGGGGGTTATTACTGGCATCAAGTGAGTATGAGCCAGGAGTCTTACAAAAACATATGTACTACAAAGAATTATCTGGCTTAAAATGTTAATAGTGCCAGCCAGGCAAGATAACATATGTCTGTAATCCCAGCAGTTCAGGAGGCTGAGGCAGTATCTCAAGTTGAAGGCCAACCTGAGCAACCTGGTGAGTCCATCTCAAAAAATAAAAAGTACTGGGGATATCTCTCAGTGGGAAGGTCCTTGGCTCAATTCCCAGTACCAAAAGAAAGGGGGGATCATGGTTGAGAAACCCTGCCTTACTTTGTGCCCCAGGCAAGGACTCAGACCTTAACCCTCCTTGTCCAAAGATTCACCCCCTTAGCCATGATAGCCTCACCTGGCAAAGTCCACCCACTTCTCAATAATCTTTTTTGGTGACAGACGAGTGCAGATGATGCCAACAAAGTCCAGCTGGCAGGAGAAAAAAGGTCAGGACTTAGCGAGTCCTCCATCCCCACTTTTCCTGTGAAATGCTTGCAAATGCTGGAATGCCAAATCAGCCTCTCCAGGCCTTTTGCCCAGTCCTGACCCGGGGGACCCCCTGACTCAGTTTTCTCTCCCAGAGCCCCACCTTGTCCTCATGCAGTGCCAGATGATGCGTGGCCAACATGCGGATCCCAAGTCTGGAAGTCAATGTCTTGTCCAGGAAGTAGCGGACAAGTTTTTCATCCTGTCAAGAGTTCAGACTCAGATACCCTGTGCCCTGCCCAGCCCCACTACTTCTCCAGGCCCCACTTTACTGCTCTGACCTCTATATGCTTGCGGCTCTCACGCAGGCCCTCAGCTAAGAGAGTCACCACATCCTTATGATCATCTAGCAGCTGTCGCACCAGCTGGCAATACTGGGCTTCATCCGCCTGGTCCTTGATCTGCAGGCCACAGAGACATGAGTAATGAGGTCCAACCCTGACCTCACAGCCCCTCCCCCTGCTAGGCCCAGCCTCACCGGAGGGAAATCTGTCAGCTTCTGGAAGGCACGAATGTACAGCTCATGCTGCAAGGAATAAGTGAAAGATTTCACAAGGCTGCCACAGCCACTGGGTAGAGAACACCTACCTCCCCAGGCCTAACTGCGGGGATCGCCCTCCCAACCCAGCTTCGCATGGTCTCAGCCCCACTGTGACCACGACACCTCCTATCCTCCATGAATGCGGGTGTACCCTTGGCCTCCAAAGGCTTTGGCTGAGTCCTACGTAGCCTGACCCGTCAGCAGCCCCTGTGCACACTGACCACTGCCCTCTATACCTTACCACATGCAGGATGGTGGGGTTGCAGCCGATTATGAAGGGAAGGCTGCGGAAGCCCTTGATGCGGTGAGCGATCCTTACTGGCAGTTCTTGTTGCAGGTACCGGCCACTTTTCTGAGACAGAGAAGGCAGGGCCAGGGCCTGGGCCTGAGTGGCTGGCCAAAGCCGCAGGAGCTCCGGGGTAGAGAGGGAATAGGAATCTTACCAGAAGGTGGCTGCCGTCTTGAGAGCGGCCGGAATAAAGCATCATGGTTGGAGTGAGGCGGACGGAGGGCTGGAGGAGAGTAGACAGACCTTGAGCACTGGACCTCCAACACCCACCCCAGAGGTCCGCCCCTCCCGGGACACGCTCTCCCCCTCGGCCCCTTGGCGGCAAACCTTCTCCGCCGCCACGTCTATGGCCGACTGGTTATAAAAGGAAGTGACGGT